CGTTCGTACCCCACGAGCGGTGCTCCTTCGGAGGTCTACAACCTATACAGCCCATAAGTTAGATAAAAATTCGCTGCCTTTATAAGGTTATTTGCTAATAAACCTTATTTGAAATAGCCTCAAGGTAGTTTGGCTTGGGCGCCTAAAGACTAAAGCTCAAAAATATTTTTGAACGTCTTAGTGGTTGAAGGTAACTGGATCACTTGAGCTACTATTAGAGGATTTAGGAAACTCACTTGAGCTTAAAAAGGTCATGCAGAATAAATATGGAATCATTCTAAGTGTTAAGCTTAATTACCGTTTGGCCTACAATTAATTTCTATAGTTCTTAAGTTTTAGCATGTAGACAACCTGGATTACTTTAGAAAGTGATTATCTTCCTAACGGTAGTATACTACAGGAAAATATGTTAATATCATTGAACGTTTCTGTGGAAAGTTTTACGTTGGTAATACCGGCAGCCATACCGACGACATATACGCCGATAAATTAACGTCGAAATTTTCAGCGCAATTTTCGCCATTGTAAAATCGGAGCATATTTTGATGTCTATTCGCTAGTATTTTAAAGGATTTTGGTGCATTATTTGATGGTAATTACCGATGAATATTTCACCAGCTTACTTAAACTCGACGAACTAATACTGACGTATTATCCACCGGTAAAATAATCAACGGGTAATCCATCGAAAAATACGCCAGTATAGTCCTTATTACAACCCATTCGCCATCTGACTTATCGTTTCATCGCTCACGTCCGACCAAACCCTCGCCTTCTCCTATCTTCCCCTCTCTAGGGTTTGCATTCATTTTATCTTTTCATCGTTGATGTTTGGGTTCATCATTTAGCAAGAGCTGTAGAGATTGCACATGTTCCTTCTTCGGCTCCTTCGTGGTTGTTCAACTTTGCTCCTTCGATTACTTTTCCTTACTGTCAGATCGGAAGTTAGGACATTTTAATCGGAAGCAATAACGAGAGCTCGCTAGTTGTGAAGGTACGTAACTTTCTCCCTTTCATTTGCTTATTCGGCCAAATCCCATAAATCCGCCGAACCGAGGGATTTAGTAAATCCAAGATTTTAGACATAAATCCTTAAATCTGTGATTTACCATCACAAGGATTTAACACGCGCACAAAGATCGTTTGGCTGGATTTAGCATAAATCTGACTTAAATCCCTCTGTAAATCCTATTCCAGACAACCCTAAGTTCATTTTTTTTTCTTTTAGTCATAGATGTTGTTACTGGACATTTACAAGAGGATTATCCTAGTATATACCTTTTATTGATGATATTCTTCTTGTTGATAAGATTAGAGAGAGAGAGAGTTGAAGAAAAACATGAATTATGGAGGTCATCCTTAGAGTCTAAAGGTTTTGGAATGACTTCATCTTATTTCTTAAAGTTAATCACCCATTAATTACCTCTTAACCTTAGGTCAATGCCTTGATTAATGACTTACCTTGCTAGTTTGGACTAATATTAAGTCTTGGACATTAAATTGAATCAATTGAGTCAACTAATTGGGCTTTGAATTAAAATTAAATCTATGATATTAAATCATATTAAGTTAAGTTAAATTACTTGAACCATTTTGATTGATCCAATGGGTCAAGTGGGTTTAAGTGCATAAGAGAGACCTCTAGGGAAACTTATGGATATAATGTGAAACCCATAAGTAAAAAGAAGCTAAATTCCTAAACATTGATGAGCATTTTTTTTGTAATGGTTGGAAGATTATTTAAGAAACTCAACAATTAAACATATTCACCCAAGAGAATACCAAGGATTTGTGACTTCCTTGGAAGTTATACCAGTAGGACAATCATGAGGTCGTTACGTCAAAGTGGTTACTATCTCGATAATTAAGAATTTGAATTATTACAAATAAAATCATAGCAATACACCAGCCGAAAGATAGGAATTAATTAATTAACTATCATATAAGATAAAATGTTATGCGATGGGAGTCGCCTCTTAAACCCTATATGGGACAAAGTGCTACGTAGCGGGAGTCACCACTTAACTTAGGTTTAGATGACATTAGCCTTAGGTCTCATGGTTCATGGTTAATGCCATGCAAACCAAGTGCCCCTACCTAAGGATATAAGGTTCTTATGAACTAAGAGTATGGTCAATATACCCATGTGTGGGGTTAATTAATGTCTTAATAAGGAATAAAACTTTTACTTAATTTCCCTACGGTTGATTTGGGCTTAATCCAATTTGTTCTAGGTCTCAAGTGGTAGACCAACTAGCTTAGCATAGGTGAAAAAGTTAATGAGCTAGCTAAGGTAATTAGGGGTTAAGTACTCTTAATTTTATCAATTAGACTATACAATGGGCTAATTTGGGGCTTAAAGGCCTTAGCCATGGCTCTAACCTGATATGCATGAGATTGGATTTAACTCGATTTGGAAATGAGTTCAATTGGATTACAAAGGAACTTAACAAGGTTAGGGAGGCTTGGGATTAACTATAGCTTAGCTTGAGACGATCCTATGCTAAAGCTAAGAATTGTAATTAGTCAAGTGGACCAATATTAGTATGGTTGATCACCAAGCCTGCAGCTAAATTTGGTTCAAAGCTAAGTTTAGGGTGCCCTATGGCATGTTTAGTTCACTAGGGGCTACTGATATAATATTAAGAAAATCATAAGGCTCAAGAGACTATGCTAAATCCATTTGGACACTTGAATGGAGATTTATGCTTCTTGGATTTTTCATGTAAAAAATTGCATGTATTCTATGAGTTAACCATAATTTTTTTTGTCACTATGTTTACAATATTTTTGTATAATACTAAAATAATGAAGTATCTCTAGGGTCGCTATAATTCTAGCAAGAAATGACAACACTAATTGCAACAACAATAACAACGATGATAATAATAATAATTGTTGCGGGCTACAAAATACGCGGCGATAGAGATTTAATTCCGTGTCTTAGCGTTGTACGTATAACTAGCTCACACACAGAGAACACAAGATTTTTTACGTGGAAAACCCTTAAAAGGGAAAAACCACGAGGCCTAGCCCAGTTGAAAATGATTCCACTAGACTTTGAGTTGGTTACAAAGGACTGAATCACCTCCAAGGGTGATCAGATTACAATCAATTACTTAAGTAAGACGTCGGGTATTCGGCAGAACGTAGGGACTGAACGTCGGGCCCTGAGTAGGACGTCGGGTCTTCGGCAGAACGTAGGGACTGAGTGTCGGGCCTTGAACAAGACGTCGGGTCTTTGGCTGGACGTCGGGTCTTCAGTAGGACGTAGGGGCTGAACGTCGGGCCTTAAGGTGGTGGTTCGGCGAGGTTCTGCGGTGATCCGTCAAGGTTCCTGCGGTGGTCCGGCGAGGTTCCTGCGGTGGTCTGGCGAGGTTCTGCGGTGGTCCGACGGCTGTCGAGGAGGAGCTCCTTCCTTCTCTTCTCTTCTTCTCTCTCTTGCTTAGATCCCCTCTTGTGAAGAATGAGGGCTCTATTTATAGATTTTCTGGAGTGGCATGACCCGTAAATAGGAGTGAGATCAAGGGCGAATAAGGAGTGGTTCGAATGGACGGCCGATAGTGAACCCTTAGATCGTGCACCGTTCGTTGGACATTTGAAGGCCTTATTGATGTCGGATTTCAACAATCTTGGGCTCGTTGGATTCATCTCGTCGATCCGTTCGATTCGAGTATAAGCTCGTCAAAATTGGAGACCGTTTGGTAACTCAAATTGCTTTTTGAACCTTCTAACAGCACTTTGAGCCCTTGATTTGGACTCATTTGGGCTCGGATTGGGTTGAACTTGGTGTCGTCGGGTTCGTATTTCCGAGACGCTCAGTTTGACTGTAAGCTTGCTGAAATCGGAGTTTGGATGCTCCCGAAATTAAATTTTGAAGTTTCCAACTAGCCTTTTGCCTCGAGATTTGTGTCCGATCAAGATAATTTTTGCATGACGTATCAATAATAATAATAATAATAATAATAATTTGATACATAATATATCAGAATGAACTTCAAATCCCTTGGATTTATAGTGAGATTAGTACATATTAGAATGTCTTATGCAACACTAATTTGAACAAAAATCTAGAGGCTTTGAAGCCTACTCTAATGCATTTTACATCTAGATATTCAAATAATTTATTTTTTCATAATAATAATACAAAGTAAAATAAAACTCATTCCAGCACATAACACAAATTGAGTACAGGTATAGAATCTATGCAATAACAAATTTAAAACTTTAAAGACTTGCGTCCAAATAGATTGGCGAGAAAGATTTGCTGAGAGTACATCATAATCAACATTTAAAATAATAATAAGGATAGAAGACAGCCTTCACAACGTTTAAGACATTTTTGTTTTATTTAGCAATAAACTATATATTGTTTAACTTGTAGAACAATATTGACTTGATTTATCACTTGCAAAATAAAATTAAAAAGAACTCTAATTCCCTGAAATAAATATCTTCCTGTTTATCCAGAAAAATTTCTTCTCGCTATGTAAAACAATCGAACAAAACGTTTGAACAATTCAAATATGTTGAACTTGTCGATTCAAAACATTTCAATACTGCTTTTCTTGTTCTGTCCGCGAGAAACAGATGATCTTAACTAGAAATTATTGTGCTGAGAGAACGATAGAATTAGGCTAATCAAGCTTAATCATCACAACCATGGAAACAAAATATAATATTTATGAAGCATTTACTTGGAGTTTTCCTCAAACTATACACCGAACTCTTTATTAAAATTAACAGAAACGGCTAGCTTTACCTATAATCAGCCCTTGTATCTACATAACATGCACGTAAGCTTCCAACTTACAAACATAAGGACTTGAGACCTGCCTATAGCCCAAGGCGAAGCTCAAGATCCAATTCATGAGCTATTATTCTCCCACGACCATCATTTTCTACCGCGGCGCTAACAGGCATCTCCATGAACAGCGGCAAGGGCTTCTGTGAGCCACCATCTTCAGCAAGGCCAATCCAGGAATAGAGCAATCTTTTGCTGGAGGGAGGAAAGTAAGAAGAAGAAGAAAAGACAGAGATGGGTGCTTGGCTACCTCTTGCGTTGGGCTTCTTTGGCTTCAAAGTTCTGTCTTTTCTATGGATGTTCATGTGGCCGCCGAGGGCTTGAGCGTTAGAAAAGCCTCTTTTACAGAAGTTGCAGTCGTAGGATCGGCCCTGAGAGGTAGTCGAAAAAGCCGGCCAGTCGTCTTTGACACTGAAAGCTGTCTCTGAATCCATAGCTAGCTATGTGATGGAGGCCGACCAGCTGTTATTGCATGGGGAAGAAGCAGAGAGAGACTGTCAAAAGAAATTAAGTTGGTGCACGTGTAGTTAGCCGGTTCTAGGCTTCTAGCAATATAATGTTGCAGCTGTAAATAATATAGTATTCTTTTGTTGATGAGCTTGACTCCATGCATGATTGTTTTTGCCATTTGCATTTATACGGATTTGGGTACTGCGAGCCTTCCGCGTGACGGACGGCTGAAGGATATTATATTAGCTGAGTTGGTGAAAAACAACCAGTAAGCATTAGCTCCTTCTATTCAATAAAATCATAGATTTGGAGTTTAATTCCTTTAGATTAGGTGTAAAAAAAATCAAATAGAATTTTTAGATTTTACTTTGATTTCTTTCCATGAAACTATAAAAAATTTGTAAAAAATTTGAAGGATTGTCTTAACCAATATTAATTAGAATATTTTTAAATTTATTAAATTTATTTTGATATATATATTCATGGCGGTGGGAGAGATATAGGGTTTAACTTCTTAGCTTTATAGGAAGTTCCAGCACATAACAAAAGAGGGGTGCAAGAGTTATAAAAGAGGCACCAAGCTTTTTATATGAAAAATCCTAGAAAGGAGCAAAACCACGGTTTATAGTCAATTACAAATGATGTCCTTCCTCGAGGAAAGCCTTGGCTCAATGTAGCAAATATATACTATATAGAGCAAATTACATGATAGGAGTTGAAAAAATCCAATGATATGGTTGTTGTTCTCAAGAGAAAGTTGTCATATTTGACTGATTGGCAGGATCGTAGTTGGATGATACAGGTCAGAAGGTTGTGAGGTGCCAAAGATAAATGGAACCTTTAGCTAGAGATTGGAGGGAGCTCTGAGGCTTCTAGAGCTCCACCTCAACCAAACTTTCTTCGACTAACCAGTGTCGGTCAACCTCCGCCTGCTCGCAACCAAACAGTCGTTGATCCTTCATCTGGAAGTAATTAAACCTTTGTTAGACCTTCTCCCAGCCCTGCTACCTGACTTTTGACCTCGGTTGTCCGACTACGTACGGTAGGGGTGTCAATATTTGACACGACACGAAAACCCGACCCGGACCCGACCCGAAAAATCCGGATTGGACCCGACCTGATTTCAAAACGGGTCGGGTTCGGGTTGAGGTCGGGTCCGAGTTCGGATTTTCGACCCGTTTCTCTACCCAGGTCGGGTTAGGGTTGACCCGTTTTGCACCCGGGTCAGTTCGGGTTCGACCCGAACCCGACCCGTGACCCGAAGTTCTATCGGGTCTCCGAACTATTGTAATTTTATTGATTTCAAGTTAAGGGACGTGTCAACCTTTATAACTTATTCAATTATAGTAGAATCTTCTCACATGGGCAATACCCCATGTTTTTTTCTCTTTTTGTGGTTTTCAACGATTTTTTTTTTTTCTGTTGTTTCCTTGCTTTCTCAACTATCTGTTTGTATGCTAGATATTTGTGCGTCACTAAGATAAAAAAACTCTCTCATACTACCGCTGCAAATTTATCAGTATGCAACAATATATATTTTCCTTAGTTCAAAATGATTGTTTTAACTTTTTATATGATCTGTTCCACTAAATTATATATAAAAATATCATATCAAAAGTGACAATTTATCTAAGCATTATGAACAAATCTCTCTTCTATCTAAAATGACTATTCAATCTTCGATTTACAATGCCAATATGTGCGTTAAAAAAGAGTGAAATGAGGGCGGCCCTCAAATCTGAAGGAGACCCCTTAAAGAAAAAAATGTTTTAAATTCATCGAGGAAACCAGCTTGCCTGGAAGAACAAATTGTGATGTAATTGGTAAGAGTCTGTCCATCCCAATTATGAAATGACATGTTTTACATTTGATTTTTTATTTATTTTTAATTGTTTTAGCTTATGACCAGCTTTCATCATAAAATAATATAAATATACAAATCTGGAGTTCATTATCTACAGGGTGGATACATAGCTACCAGCCACAAAAAATCGGTAAGAGTTGAGAAATGATTAAAGTTAAAGTTTTAAGTATTTAAAATACATATATAGTTGAGATGGGTCCCACTGTAGAAAGAGTTTCACACAATATGTCGGAATTCCAGAATGTAAACCATTTTTTTTCCCATTTCAAAATGAATGAATCAATATTGGCAACCAAATGACCCTAAATATATTATGTTAAGTTATATGTGAAATATGACTGTGTTGATCAATCGGGTTGTCATATTACCTCAAACATCAATTTAGTCTATTCAGCTCGTTAGGGGTTCTCCTGCTTGGGTTTAGATGCTTTGCACCCAAAACTTTTTTTTAGTACAATCATAAAGAGCTGCAGTGGTGTGTACCTAAGTAAGTGCCCCGACGTAGTATAGTTTGCTTGGAGAAAGATAGAGAGCGAAGGCTAGGTTGTAGTGCTACAAACCTTCGCTCTGTGGCACTACGTACAAACCTCGACGCTGCGGTGCTGTAAACCTTAGTGCTGTCAGGAAAATTGGAAACAAAGAATTGATTGTTGCGGTGCTCCAAACTAGTGATGCAAGACGAGCTAACAATTTTCCTTCTCATTTTTAATTAAGAGTTACATCCCTTGGCGGTTTGCATGTTACTCCTTATATGTTCTGATATTAGAACGGTGCAATAAGGGTGGAGATGATTAAGAATAGAATAAGAGAAGTGAATTATGTGCTTTTTCTTCTAAATTTCTTGGTGTGTCGTGTCTTCATATTTTTTGCATGGTTTCAGGTTTCAGGTTTTTCCATGTTAAATAATGATGTTCTTTATTTCCACTTAATTTTATTCTGATAAAAATTATGATTACGAACTAAAAGCACAGAACTACGAAAGTTGTTACACACAAAACCTTTATTGATTGCTAAATTCTCTTCCTTTGGCTATTAGATATGAAATTATCCATAGTTGCCCCATGAATGTTGATGGCAAGAAACTCTTTCGGAAAAACTTGGCCTCTCCCTCTTTCTAAGAATTCTATGGGATTTCTATGGGGACTACCCATTTGTCTCTTTGCACCAATACATTTGGCATAAACATTACACTATTAGATATTATTGCTTTGCTTTGTTGGAAATTCTTGGTGGGTTGAAGACTGCTTATAAGCTAATCAAAAGGGGTATTCATGCTCAAGTTGTATGTAATATTTGCAACAATTCTAATGAAAATGTTGTTCATTTACTTTTTGAATGTGACTTTTCATTTTACATTATCACCCATGTTTTTTTCTGGGCTACATTTTTTTTTTTTTTTGTGAACTAACGCCCTTAAATTATTCCAATATATTTTCGACCTCCCCCATATGTCACCGACTGTTAGAATGTTTTACAATTTATTTACTTGATATTGCATCAATTACATTTAGAGCGAGAGAACGCCAGGGGCTTTGGCCAATCGATTATGAGCCTTGCTACTACTATACACTTAATCAAGAAAGCTATTATGGCTAAGGTTTTGAATTTGAAGAATTTTGATGAAATTATGCATTTGATTCAATATCCGTCATCTGTCAACTATGGTCCCTCCAACATCCTTCGACGGCAGACTGTGGTCCCTCTTACCATCTTCGCCCATCAACTATGATCCCTCAAACCTCCATCACTCGCCAGTTATAGTCCCTCTGATCTCCGTAGTACGTCGACTATGGTCCTT